TAAAAGATCAAAGACAATTTTTAAAATAACTCCGACTGGATTCGTCTGAAAGAAGAAATTCATATACACCTAGGATGACTTGAGCGTGAGTAATTTATGGGCTAATTTTCATTTTTGGGTGAACTAACCCTTTAAATGAACTGTTTTCTATTTTAATATATTTTGAAATGTAATGCATTCATGCGACGGCAAAGCTGGATTTTCAGCATTGTTACTCCCGTCTTCAGTGTCACATGATCCTTCAGAAATCATTCTAATATTGCTAATTTGCTGATTTGGTGCTCAAGAAACATTTTTTATTTTCAGTGCTGAAAACAGTTGTGCTGCTTCTTTTCTTCATTTAATGTGTCTTTGCTGAATAAAAGTACTATTACTATTTTTTTTTTTTTTTAATTTACTGACACCTAACCTTTAAACTGTAGTGTATTTAAAATATGTAGATTGTATGGTTTTATTTTTTATTTGGAAATTGTAAACGTATAGCTTTTACAGGTATGGCTTACTATTTATTTGAAAATTCTATAAAAACAAATTCATTACACATTTTTCTGATAAATTTATTTTATTCCATCAAATGTTCATTTTAATTTAAGAAAATTTGCAATAATTTTATTTTAATCATTTGTGACAACATTTTTATTTATTTACATATATGTCTGTAATATGGGAGTGATTTAACACTAGAGCCGCCAGGGGTCGCTGTATACCTAAAACCGCCAGCGGGTAAATTTTACCCACGCACATGACAGCTGTTTCTGAATGGCTAAAGAACATATTATTTCACTGTATTATGCTACTGTCTTCACAAAGAAGTGTCTAGAGTCATGAAATGATTATGTCTAGTCATCAACTCAATATATTAAGATAACCTATGTTATTTAAATTACTAAAATAGCGTATAAACAATAATGAGCAATAATAATTCACCACATTGCATAGGATGATGCGATGACAAATTCAAGCGCACAGCTTCACCTAATTAATTATTAATTTGTTTAGTTATATCATTTATAATTTGAATTATACAAGAAGAACACCAAAAAAAAAAAAGAAAGAAGGTTTTATTAATTAGCCTACATCAGATCGGATTTTTTTTCTTCAGGAAACAGGCAGACTAGAATAAATGGCAACACAGAAGCGAACAATAAACGATAGAAATAGCAAAACAAAAATTAAATAATTAATCCACATTTTGAACAATTATGAGTAACATTAGGATAAAACGTCTAAATATATGATCGCTGTCAGATGCTGAGCCGACAGGACACTTTACTTATCTCCCCACCATCAGACTCTCCATCCCTCATGGCATTTAGTGCTTCTTATTAGAGCCCGACCGATATATCGTTTTGCCGATATTATCGGCCGATATGAGCTGAGGCCCCCTTTCGAATGAGACCACCCCCACGTGGATAGCCCCCAGGGTTTGGGAGTTACGGGTGGTTAAATTCGCGGTCCGGCGCTGACCGATCTTAATATCGGTATCGGTATCGGCCCCAAAAAACCCATATCGGTCGGGCTCTACTTCTTATACCTCTTCAGCATTCATAAATCGCCTATTTTACTCATTTTGTCTTTATTTATGAAACTGATAACCGCTAATTCAGTGAGTGAAAGGTGTTGCCTAGCAATGTACTATGTTAAAACATAAGCAGCACGAAAATGACAGCGCGAACATACAGGCATTATATAGCGGGTAAATTTGACCCGCGCTGGCACTTATAGGTATAAATGCCCTGTTTTTTGATCTGAACAGTTTTTAACAACAGGGGATTGTAAATCACACAATTTTAGTAAAAGTCAGTGACTGGGAGACTTGAATGTTTTATTAAAAATATTTTATGTACGTTTTAAAAACAGCCACGGGTAAAATTTCCCCCGTGGCGGTTCTAGTGTTAATATGCTGATTTTCTGTGTGTGCAGTAAGCCAGACATGTCTCGTCTGCGGCTGGCAGCCGGCTGTGCCATTCTTCGTCTCTCTCAGGAGCCGTGCTACCATGAGATCATCGCCCTGGAGCAGTACCAGCTCTGCGCCCTCGTCATCAACGTAAGACCAACTGCCGGCTCCTTATCTGACTCCATATTGCCCTGATGAACTTAGCTTTCATCCTAATGTCAAAAAGAAGATCACTTAAAGGGGTCCTATTGTGCTCTTTTACAAAGTCTTGATTTTGTTTTGGGGGTGTACGAGAACAGGCTCTCATACTAGGTTTTTCGGAAAAAAAAAACATTATTTTTCACATATTTTACATTATTACAACACCTCTCTCCCCAGTCTAGCATGAACGGCACGAATAGTTCCTGTATCAAATGAAGGCCCGCCTTCTGAAATACGAAATGTGCTGTGATTGGTTAGCTGGGCCAGTGTGTTGTGATTGGCAGCACTCGGCGCCTGGTCAGGAAATGTCATGCCCCTTACCACAGCCGCCTGCAAGCTTCAGTGTAAATATTGCATCAAAATCAAATAAATTTGAGCGCGATTTAATCCTGGGTGATTGTAACCACTCTTAAGTTCGTCTGCATTGGGAAAGCTAGCGTGTCTCCGACATAGTGATAACACTCGTTGCCTTCTCTAGTGCAGCTCAACCAGGTCTCGTCCCATTCGTCGATATTTGTGATATCACAAATCCCAGAAAATATGCGTTGTAGTCCAAACGAGTCGTTCATTGTAGTTTTTGAAAAGTGATTTCTGTTAAATAAAATATATCCTGTTGAAGTGGACTTTGAGCTTTGTAACTTTGCAGATCTTTTTTATGCTCAAACAGCAACATTACAGACTAACTAAAGTTGAAAAAGTGAAAGCATAATAGGACCCCTTTAACATCGTTTTAATGGGTTACTCTGCTTTGACTAACAGACTGGTTGTCTAGTGATTCGCTGTGTTCCTGGTCACCAGTCACGCTTTGAAATTTGATTTTATCGGTCAGATAAACTGAACATAAAATTAGAAGTCTGCTTCAGTACCCCAGATTGAAAATAATGCCTCTCCTACTGCAGAGAGAGGATGTAACCTCATTCACTACTCAGTTTACTTATATAATGTTTTCGGACTGTTTCGGAGTGCAACAGGATGTTCAACCAGAAAAAAAATGGCTGTAAATTATTTGGATTGTTGGAAGTGGGTGATTAATATTAAAATGGAGCCAGACCATGTTGCATGTTTGCAAAATCAATGCTTAGGTAGGCTGTGCAGGCTATTGAATAATGTTATTAACTGACAGCCAAAAAGGGATGTCAGTAGACAAATAGTTTCAGAGGAACTGATTAATCTTTCACAATAAGATGAGGAATGTGCATTAAAAAAGTAAATGGGGGTCAGTTTGGATTTAATGTTGGCCTATACAGGAAACCAAAAGGTTTGAGTGTCAAACCTTAACAAAAAGATGATCCAGGAGTGGTGAACATTGAACAAGACTGATGGTGGCACTTAACCCCAGGTTACTCGTAGTGTTGTTTTTGGCGGCCTGTTTTAATTTTAGTTTTAGTCTAGTCTTTGTGTGAAGCTGTCATTTTAGTTTTTATTAGTTTTAGTCACGTTCATACTCTTTTTAGTCTAGTCAAGTTTTAGTCAACTAGAAGTCTGAGCATTTTAGTCTTATTTTAGTCCGAATTATCCATGACTATTTTCGTCTAGTTTTAGTCGACGAAAACTGATGACATTTTAGTCTAGTTTTAGTCTGATAAAGGTTCGTTGACGACGATGTTTAGTCATAATTTTCGTTGACGAAAGCAACACTAGTTACTCGAGGGTTATTGTCCTTGGAGTGTTTTGTAAGCCACTGAATAAAAGCATCAGCTGAATGACTCATTAGGACCTAATAAATTCTCTCGTTTTTCTCAGGACGAGTGCTACCAGGTGCGACAGGCCTTCGCCCAGAAGCTACACAAAGGTCTGTGCAGATTGCGTCTGCCACTGGAGTACCTGGCTGTGTTCACGTTGTGTGCCAAAGACCCGGTGAAGGAACGCAGGGCGCACGCCCGCCAATGCCTGGTCAAAAACATCAACCTGCGCAGGGAATACCTGAAACAGCATGCAGCAGTCAGCGGTAAGGAGAGCCAGTCAAAAACCGGCACTGAAGGCAAGGGCTAGGAATCGAGAACCAGTTTAGATTTAGTTCATCTTTGTTTATTTTTTTCATATAACAAGATATTGTAAGTGATTGGTTTTTAAAGTGTTAATAAGTGTAGACAAGATATCTTTGTTGTGTATGCAACAACCATACGTCTTGTGTTTGAATTAGCAACTCTTCAGCAATTTAGTAATTCATGTAAAATTATGAATTAAAGTGATTCTCCAGTTCATATACATGTTAGGATCTTCACTTTATTTTGTAGTAAACATAATTTTTGGTTTAAGTGTGCAGTTTATCACCATGATTTCAGTCAGCTTATATAGACTGTCAAATGTTGTTTGTGTAATGAATCGCTGAAAAAAAAATAACATGTCTAACTTTATAAAAGTGGAAATATTTAGGCACCTCACAATACTTTAAGATTTGATACAAGGAGTCACAATTCCAATCCAAATTGATTCACAATGCAATTCTCAACACCAATTATTAACTAATTTTAAAATTGTGACTTTCTTTGGGTTTATTCGAAAAAGAACCACAATGAGTCCATCATTTTGTTTAGTTATTACCAGGAATTTGAGAGGTGAGGAGTCTGTTCAAATACTAAAAGAGTCATTCAGGAATCAGAAGCAGAATCAAATTCTGCCCTATTAGAGGCCTTGTGGTGTGTTTTTGTGCTAGTGATCTTTATTAGTTAAAATTCATGCATCTTCCAGTACAATGAAATATTTAGCTGCTCAGTTGAGCAGTTCATCAGGGTCATTATGCAAAAGAGGCTGTTGTTACGTCTGTCCTGTCAAGTGGATTCTCCAGTCCATTGTTTTGCTTTCTTCATCTGTTGCTTTTGGAATTAATTCTTTGCACGTCAGCCTTTTCAGTTTTGATTTGTTAGTTTCAGACCTTTGGAGGATGGGAACCTTTTCCAATTGTAATTTATATTCATGAGCCACAGTACAAACCAGGGATATTGTAGAACATTGTGGGTCCTGGAATATGCCCAGATTTTTATAACAAGCATTTGTGTGTACTGCAGAAAAGCTGATATCGCTCCTGCCGGAGTATGTGGTGCCATATGCAATTCACCTTTTGGTCCACGACCCAGACTACGTGAAAGTCCAGGACATCGAGCAGCTCAAAGACATCAAAGAGTGAGTCCACACAAAGTCCTTTGGCTTCTCTTCCATTTTTAATTGGAGAATGTTTATCTCTTCATTAGGTTGTCATTTCAAGCTCTGAAAATGTCAGATGCGTAATTTGGATGAGATATTCATTACCAATATGTTGCCCTTCAAATTTTCATAAACAGTGGAGAAAATCTGCAGCTTGTTAGATGTTTGTCTGGCTGCCGAAAATGATGTTTCTCTCTCTCTGTTCCTCTCTCTCTCATATCTTTCCTTTTCCTTCAGAGCTTTGTGGTTTGTTTTGGAGATCCTAATGGCCAAAAATGAAAACAACAGCCATGCGTTCATCAGGAAAATGGTGGAAAACATAAAGCAGACAAAAGATGGACAGTGTCCGGATGATCCCAAGATTAATGAGGTCCGTCTTGTTTCAGAGTGATGCTTTGTTTTTCTCATGTGATTACTTAAAAGTTGTTCTAACTAACAACATATCTAGGGATTTTAAATATAAATGATTGTCAGAACTGGAAATGCATTACGTAATAACAAAACATGGAAATGTCTACAGTCAGTATGAACATTATCTCTCCACAACCCCCCCTCTAAATTTATTCAAAAGATTGGAAAAATGCATACAAATATAATAACCATGTATTGTAAGAATCCAATTTATGGAATAATAATAATATAACAGACAACTGTTAAAATGTTTGGGGTCAGTACCTTTTTATTTTTTTTTAAAGAAATCAATACTTTTTATTCAGCAAGGAGACATTAAATTGATCAAAAGTGACAGTCTTTCTATAATCTTACAAAAGATGTCTATTTAAAATAAAATGTTCTTCTGAACTTTCTATTCAAATAATCTTTTCTTTCCACAAAAAAGCAGCACAATGTTTTCAACATTGATAAAGGTTTCTTGACCACAAAATCACTGTTTTCAGTGAAAAAATCAGCTTTGCCATCAGAAATAAATTACATTTTAAAATAGAAACTATTTCACAGTATCACTGTTTACTGTATTTTTGATCATATTAATGCAGCCTCATTTCAGAAATATTTAAAAGTCTTTTAAAAGATGAAACATGAAAAATGGGAAGTGAAATTAAATGCATTGAACCTTGTTTTATATTTACGTTACATTGTCCTGCTGTTGTTTTCTTGTAGTATTATGAACAGTTGACAATATTTAGTATCTTGCTCTGTGAAAATAAATGAAAATCATAAATAAATAGAGTTTACACTTCTCAATTCTCTCTCTCCTTGCAGAAATTGTACACAGTGTGTGATGTAGCCATGAACATCGTCATCTCCAAGAGTACCACATACAGTCTAGAGTCGCCTAAAGATCCCGTACTGCCTGCGCGCTACTTCACACAACCGGACAAGGTGCTTAACTGCTGCCTTTGTTGAACTGCTGCAGGACCTCCAGTTATATCAGGGATTTTTTTTGCTTTAAAAAGGGACAGGAAAGTGGAAGGAGAGAGAGGCAGTAGGGGATTATGATTGGATTTGAACCCGTGTCTCCCTTGAACAGCAGCTCTTTATTTATGTATCGTGAGCACTACACATTTTTAGGCCTTGAAAAGTCACAGAAATGTATGAACTCTTAAACAGTCATTGAAATGTCTATAATGCATATAACATTTTCTTAAGCCCTAAAAATAAATGTTCTTTTGAGTGCTATCTATAATGTTTGTTCAAATTGATTTTTCTCCCAGTCGCTCACTAAATCTCGGTTCTTGCTGCTTTTCAGAATTTCAGTAACACGAAAAACTATCTGCCTCCTGAGATGAAGTCATTCTTTACCCCAGGAAAGGTACATATTTGCCCTCTGTTCTGTGCTTTTAACCTTCTTGGGTAAGACAGGACTGTGAGATTGACTGCCTGATTCTCTCTGCAGCCTAAGGCGGCAAACGTGCTGGGCGCTGTGAACAAGCCCCTGTCCGCCACAGGAAAACTGCAGACCAAACTCTCACGCATGGAGACCATCAGCAATGCCAGCAGTAACTCCAACCCCAGCTCCCCTGGCCGCAGTAAAGGACGGTTAGTGTCACAAACTCACATACATGTGAGCTCATTGATATACACTACTATTTACAAGCTAGGGTCAGTATGTTTTTTTTTTTCAGCAAGGATGCATTCAGTTGGTCAAAAGTGACAATAAAAACATTTATGTTACAAAAGATTTGTTTCAGATAAATGCTGATATTTTGAACTATTTCTATTAACGAAAGAATCCTGGTTTTCACAAAAAAAAAAAAAAAAAGGGGCAAAACCTTTTTCAACATTCATAATAATAGGACGTTTCTTGAGCTACAAATCAGCAAATTAGAATGGTTTCTGAAGGATGATGTGACACTGAAGACTGGAGTAATGATGCTGAAAATTCAGCTTTGCATCACAGGAATAAATGACATGTATAAATATAATAAAATAGGGGAAAAGGGTATTTTAAATTGTAGAAATATTACTGTTTTTACTGTATTTTTCTTCAAATAAATACATCGGTGCGCATAGGAGACTGCAAAAACAAAACCTAAGAAAATATAACTTAAAATTATAAAGAACTGTGTATAACTAATAACTGTTATTTACTTTCAAACAGTAGTGTATATGGAAGATTATACTGTGTTTCAAGAAAATTACATTAGTAATCTGATCTCACTATTGCTTTATTGAAAACGCCATATCATGGCTTTCACATTCTAATCTGTGTGCCGCTTTTGGAAAATATGTAGTTTAGCACATCCCTAAAAACTACATATTTGTAGCATTATCTGTTCAGTAGCGTAAATTTGTTCCAGATGTCCCATAAAACCAGTGGTGGTGTGCAATAAACACACAAGCATTATAAATAACATGAGACACACTCCCTCTCCTAAAACTGTAATATTGTTATGAACTCTTAGCTGTCTGCAGTCTGATCGCAAGCCTCGTCTGAATCCATTTTGGATGTTATTAAAAGTAATTTTCATACTGCAAAATCTGGCTTTGGTATTAACATCCTACTGTGGGCTAAACAAGCTCTTTTGAGGTCACTGTGCTCAATAATCATAGCGCCTTTCAACGTTCCTGCATGAAGGGTAGGCATGTGATGGTCGTCTCAGAGACGCTTGGTATCTGAATAGCTGTCATTGAGATTCTTTTGAATGGAGTGTTTCATGGATCTGCGTCACGAAAACACAATAATTGCTCTTTCCTTTTACCTGTGCCACATCGAAAGAGCGCTCTGGGGATGTACTGCTCGATGGCATTGAGATGACTCATGCCGTCCCTCGAGATTTATAATAGCCAAACTCGTAGGTGTCTTTATAATGTGAGCAAGATAAACAGCTGAAAAAATGACTTGAAGTTTGTTGCTTCAATTAGTAGTTGGGCTTTCAAAACATTTCTACAAACAATCTAAATGCAAAGTTATTTGTCTTGCACTGTATGTGCTATGGACATGAATGATGGCTCAATGTAGTTATTTATTTATTTATTTTTTTTATATATTTTTGTATTTTTTTATTAAATTATCAATATGAGTTTAATTAATTTAAATTTATTATCAACATTTTATTTCTATTTGATTTTTGTGTGTGTTAGTATTATTTTTATGATTTTTATTCATATAAGTTTTTGTTATTTATGATGTACGCTGTAGATTTTCTAAGTTTAGTAAACTTTTGTGAGTTTAAAATTGCAGCTTTTTTTTATTCTTCACAAGAGTTGACTATTTAGCAAGAATATTCTAGAAAATATACCTAGACTTACATTGACACCCTTGAAATAAAAAAGTATTTATTGTTTTATTAATATTATTTCTTTATTAACTTATTTTTAATTTATTGGTAATTTCAAAGATAAATTATAATATTGTATTACTTTTAGTGCAATTCAGATAAAATATTATTACACAAAATCATTTTTAATATTTTAAATTATATTAAATATATGAAGTACATAATTGGTAGATTGTGTCAGTGCAGTTTTCAATGAAGAGCCCATCTGAGACAGAAAAGCCCAGCAGGGGGCGCAAGCGGGGTGCTGCAGCCAACCAGGACGACAAGGTTCAGGAGTCCAAGCCCAAGCGGGGCCAGAAGAAAGCTGCCAACACGAGCACTGACGATGCCGAGGACCAGTGGGGTGAAGACAGCAGCATGGCAGAGGCCTCCATGGAGACCGAAGACGAACAGAACAGTCCGCCCAAGAGAGGCCGACGAGGACGGCCCCCCAAATCAGCAGCCTCAAAGGACGAGACGCCCAGCAAGGGCAGGAGGGGTCGCAGGAAGACAGCTCCACCTGCGGATGAAGAAAATGAGGAAGAGCAAGAGGAAGAGGAGGACGATGAGGATGACGCAGGCAGTGAGAATATAGAGGTGAAGCCCAAAGGCAGAAGAGGACGTAAACCAAGGTTAGTAGCTGCCTATATATATATATATATGACCTTAATATAGATGATCTGGTACTGAACGTCCTGAATACCCATAAACCCTTTATTCTTAACATGTGTATTTCAAATGGTTATTCACAGAGGGGAGGCAGATACCGCCAGCGATTCTGTGGAATCCACACCTCAGAAAAGGAGAGGACGACCTCCAAAGTCACAGACAGCAGCTAGGAAAGCCAGGTACACAGACTCATGTTGCTAAAAGCTTTCTGACATTTTCCCTTGATGCTGCCTGTAGTCTATACATGTGTCTGGGGCTGTTTCATGGGTTTTATTTGACTCATACAATCTGTTTCAGCGGTGGGAGATCAAGAGCTGCTGCCAGCCAGGAAGAGGAGTCTGAAGAGGAGATGAACACAGCCCAGCAGAGCGAGGAGGAAGAGGATGAGCCAATGGACTCTTCACCTAAAGTGAGTTTCCTTTCCTCTGAAAACCCATAGTTATGGAAAACCAAATCAGCTGATTTAAAATTTAAAAAAGGGCTTTCTAAACAAATTATTAATTGAACCTCATTCAAAATGTAAGATAAAATATCTTTAGACATTTGTAGTAGTAATTATTTGAAAATGATAGTTGTTTAAATATGTATGGTATGGTATGAGAAGTATTAAAAAAGAACAAAATATTTATCTAGTAATCATGAATGATTTTAAGCCATAGAATTGTATTGGGTAGACATCTTCAAAATTATAAAAAGTATAAATATAATCATTGTTTAAATGTATTAATTCAACAGAATTCTGCTCTGGAAATCCGTATGAAGATTTAAAAAAATAAATCTTTATCAAGTAATCATGAATTATCTGAAGTCATAAAAATTAATTAGGCAGAAATCTTTAATTACTAAAAAATTTAATATAGTAAGTGTTTAAATATGAATTCCACAGAAGTTTGCTCCAGAAGTCTATATGAAGATTTCAAAAAAATTGTAATCTTTATCAAGTAATCATGAATAAGTCATAAAAATTAATTGAGCAGAAATCTTTACATTTCTAATAAAATGTAAAGAAATCTAGAAATTTGTATTAAGGTTTCAAAATATATATATACATTATCTAGTAATCGTGATGGAAGGTCATTAAAAAATTCATTGGGCAGAAAATGATACATTCAAGTAGGGATGTAACGATTAACTGCGATCCGGTTGAAAATCGATTCAAATATGTGACGATTCAAATCGGTTGAGATGCTAAACAAATCGCGATTCAGTTAGGGGTAGGAGTTTATATGAATGTATGTCTGAGGGGAACTTACTGTCTTTAGAAAAGTTTAGATGGTATTTTTTCTTTTCCTCTTGCCTCTGTATAATGCATATTAAAGTTCATAAGTGCCGCACTGCTTTGTTTACAGCAGAAACCAAGGAAATTCTTTAAGCGCCACCTGCTGGCAGAGAGTGAATCTGCGTCTCATTCAGCTCCTCTGCTGTTTGTTTCATGCAGATATTTTTTATGCATAGTTTCACAAAACTGAAGACAAACCATTCTGTTTTTGCTTAAAATTTCGAAATTATACAATGTCATTTGTAATGTAATGTAATGTAATTTGGTTGCTTCTAATTTAAAATGTAAAGAGCACAGACAAAGCCATTTTGTTTATATGAAGAGATTTATCTTATTTGTTACTTATTTATTTGCAAGTATAATAATTGTTTAAATGACATTAATTCCATGTAGAAATCTGTTGAAGAAAACTGAATGAAGGATTTAAAAAATCTTTCTTATAACCATGAGTGATGTAAAGTCATAAAAATTCATTCAGCTGAGATCTTGAAGATGATGCATTTAAATATAATTTCATGCAGAACTGTTTAAAAAGTTTTTTGTTTTTTTTTATTTTATCTTGTATTTTATCTTGTCCAGAAAACAGCTGAGATCTTGAAGATGATGCATTTAAATATAATTTCATGCAGAACTGTTTAAAAAGTTTTTTGTTTTTTTTTACTTTATCTTGTCCAGAAAAATAATATAAATTCATTAGTAAGAAATCGTGAAAGTTCTGAGAATGTGCTAATTTTTTTTTGTAGGTGCGACGGAAGGTGGGGAGAAGAGACCGAAGATAAGTGCTTTCAAAGACAAAATGCAAGATTGATTGGAGATTGCTATACTTAAGGAAAAAGTCCGATGAACAGAGTGAACTTGTGAAAGTTTGGACTTTTTGGAGCCATGCATCTGCTTCAGCTGTATTTTGCCGTCTTTTACTGCCGTATGCTTCTGCCTCACCTATCCACCATGACTCGTGGTGTGTTTTCCATTGTTATGTGTGCCGACCATGTGATCTTAATCTTATGAGGAAGAAAGTGTAAATAGTTTTTGGGCTCTTACTTCCCCCCCCACCCAAAGTTAGGGAGACAACTTGTATAGCTTTTACCTCCAGCTTTAAATATATTGCACCAGCTGATCTGTCCAAGTAAAGGAAAAAAAAAAAATCGGAACAACTTTTAGCAGTACTGTTTGTGTCCCGTGTGTCTTCTGTATATCATTCTGTACTGTGCTACATGAATAACCATTTTGTAGTTCCCTTTTTTATTTGTTCGTCATTTTATCCTTTCCTTTTTTAACCCTTCTCATTTGTGTAATTCTTGTGCGCATATGGTTGTGCATGTGCAAATGTGCCTCTGCAGATAAAAGAAACACTGGTCTGATGATAAATTCACGTATTTGTTACATTTTACAGCCCAGTATTGATTTTATCAGTGTTTGAAACAGGGAGGAGATGGTACAGAGCATTGGTTTTTAATATTGGCTGTTGGGAAACAATTGAAGATTCTCCCCCACCATCCAAATCAGTTTTTTTCAGTCTGCTGAACCAATAAAATATTCTGTATAAATAACTTGCATATTTGTTATCGGTAATGTGTTCATTTAGCCAGGGGTTTTCAAATGTTTTGAGGCAAAAAGCCTCTTAAAATTTCTAAAATATAAAGGCAGAAGTATATTTTCATGTATATGCATTTATCTGATATATATTAAGTTTTATATTTAGTAAAATATTATCTTTATTATATTTAATTACATTTCTTCTACCCACCATTACAGTACTTTTAGATATATAAACTGTAATGTCAAAATGAGAATAGAATGTAACAAAGTGCATTTAGGCACTTAAAGGTTAATTATTTTCTAATTTTGTCTTCAAAAAATGGGAAAAGACTTAATAATATAAAATTATTAAATTGGCATAATGGCATAAATGAAGCCATTCATAGTTAGGAAAAGTGTAACATACAGTTGCGTGAAATGTTATTTTTTAATAACGATAGTCAAACATCCACAAAAACAAAAACTACATGGATCTTGCATGCTTTCGGCGTCCTTGCCGTTGCTTTATAAATCTGCATACATCATTTCAAGTTTGAGGACATTAGGTTTTAAATGATCACTTGACATATTTTTGTAAGATGTAGCAAAAATGTTTTTTCATGCCCTCTCTTTGGGTCCACCATCTGCTGACCAGCTGCTGTGGCATTTACTTCAAAACTCAAAATCCATTACACCGCATTCAACTGAACAACACGAAGCAGTTTTTGTTCTAGTATAACAGCTTTGTGGAGAACAGTAATTTGCATGTATTCATACACACCCACACTATGAAAGAACTCTACTTCGTGCCAACTGCAAATGAGAAATAGGAAATAAGACAAACAATTCAGTGTTGGTATAAGCAAAAACTCTTAACGACCATTTACACACTCAGTAGTCTTGAAATGATTTATAAGGAGGTATTAATTTATGTTTAATATCTATAAATAAAATATCCTAAAACCATCTATCTGTCATTTTACAGCTTTTACAAATCACTGTTGGGTTTTGTTAAACTATCAACACCCTGCTCTTTTGTCTCGCATAACACGCTGTAGTAAAAGTCTGAATCATCCTTAAGTAAATGGAAATTCTGCTTAGCCTCAATCGTTTGCCATGTGTCACAGTAGTGTGTGTTTATTGTATTGGGATCACGTGACTGTGCCGACCAATCGGAGTGGCGGATGTTACGCCGCACACTAGCCCTGTGCTCCCTGCGCTCTCATTAAATTCACTCATCCGTCTAGCATAGGGATATCAGATTCTTTTAAGCGAGTCGATTCGTTTGGACGGTTTGTTGAACTGTGATTCATCACAGTGTTCCCATAAGTCGCACAAGTGGCATTTACAGTTTATTTAATACGTTTTTGGTTAAGTTTAATAATTAACTTGTAATATTCAACCAGTCTGATGCAGTTTGTAATGTGTTTTTTCCAATCTGCTTGAATTATAGCCACAAGCTGCGTTTAAGGCGCCAGTTACCTATCTCTCTATTTTTAATCTACTTCTACTTTTACCACACACTAAGTATACTTCCAAAATACTCTGGAGAGAAATCGAGAACTTTCATTTAAGAGATTTAGGAATCATTTGCGAATCGATTCGACTGAATCATTAAAAAGAACCGGTTCAAAATAATTATTCGTTGGCGAATCGGACATCACTCCAGACTAGGGGTCGAGCGTAGTGAGCATGTATTTATTAACACATCCCCAGTGTGCATCTTGAGCCGGTCTGTTGCACACAGTCAGTGTGGGGTGTCGATGTTTTATGGCGGTCTTTTACTTTTGACATTAATGTAATGTCGCGAATTAAAGAAACAGCCTGCCGTCGGATTTGATGTCTCTGCGACTGACAGAGGTAGCTTGAGAGAGGTAGGTTTGATTCATAGGATGTATACGACGCTAATTCTTGTGTTGCATACAAACATGGGATAAAACTTTCAATTGGAAATACATTGATTTGTATCGCATCGCGTTGAATGACAGTTCTCTGTGTAGTTTGCGCGTGAAGATAAACAGTATCGCCAGTGTGTGAAATGCATGTTCACTTATTGAAGATTACATCTCTGAAGAAGCTTTCTGTTGGCGTTTTAAACTTTATTCATCAACATCAAGGATCAGCAGGATCTTGTGTCTCATAGTGTAATGTTTCCTGAGAAACATGAATGAATGTACAAGTATTTCCTGTTATTTAAGTAACTGAGATCATATACATTTGCGCACACTTGTGTTTGTATATATGTTGTATAAGTGCATCAATCACATACATTTATATAACAAAACACACACAGACAATTATATATGCATATAAACCAGTTTTATGCTGCATGCTTGCGTGTTATATATGTAAAAATGTGTGCTTGTTTTCAAAAATATTTATTAATAAGTAGGCTATGTATTAAAAATCTATATTTTATATTGTTCATAGCCTATATAAATATTTTACTATGTTTTCATTTATTTGTAATGTGTCTGTGTGTGTGTGTGTGTGTGTGTGTGTGTGTGTGTGTGTGTGTATATATATCGGCCCGATAAAAAAATTTGGCCGATATCTTAAAGCCGGTAAATAATGCGTTATTTCCTTCAGAGACACTTCAGATGCGCGCTCTTCGTTTGCAGCCTTTTGTGCAATTGTACGTTGTATTATTGTGTTTATTTGATGTATATCTGATTTACCTCAAATAGAATGCGTTTGGTTAAGTTAAAAGAGCGCTTCAGTTTACCGGTGATCATCTTTAGCTCAGCGCACGCAGCTCAAACAGTTAATAACTATGATTGGGAATGTCGTGTATATAACATTCTAATGAGAACATTATTATAATAAAACGTTGTGAATTCTTTGGGTTTAGTTCAAATCATTTAATTATTGTCCGTGCAGAGGCTATTCCGTTTTATTGATCTATGGCGCATTCATTTTGATTCTTTACACGTGTAATGATGTCCAGTGACTTGTTTGCATTATTTTATTTATTTGTAAGACTTTTTTATGACTAAATTTGGTAATGGGAGAGTAAAATTATTTTTAAAACGTACACCGTTCAAACTAGGCTGCTTATGTTGACGTGTTTGGGATGTGGGTTTTAATGATGAGACCTTTTTTGTAGTCAGGCTCTCAAAAAGTATATAAAAATTTGGATATAGATTTATCGGCCAACATATCGGTTATCGGCTTTCAAAAATAAAGAATTATCGGTTATCGGTATCGGCCAAAATGTTCATATCGGTGCATCCCTAATATATACTGTACATAATCATTTACACACACACACACACACACTGCTGCTGCATACTATCAAGTTCTTATTTAATAAGCAGTGCTTAAATAAAAAAAAGCTATTTAAGTTAAATCTGCTGCATCAGTTAGGGGAAACTTGCATGGAGTAGTAAGTCTATCAACGGATAAATTACTAAACAATGGAAGTCTTTTTCGTTTATTCCACGTTTCCATTGGAACTGAGTCAGAGCCACTGTTTCTCTGTAAGAGAATAGTGGTCTGGCGGGTATTGCTTGTTTCTAAATTTAGATGTTGCTGTTCAGTATTCTCCCAACATCCTGCTTGCAGCTGGTTACATAACGCCTGTCGAGTTGACCATTTTAATGAATTGAATGGACAGTCGGATGCGATCCGAGTCTCGTCAGGGCTGTGTGAGGTGATGGAGCCGTAGCGCTTCTCTCCCATCCTTCTGTCAGCGGGTGTGATCTTAAAATAGTCTCGTAATGAGGGACCCTCAGAGTTCTCGGCAGAACGGAGCCGACTGCAGGGTCCGAAGGGAGATGAAATCATAATGCTCCAAACAGAAGGCCTCCAGAAAGTCACGGTTTTACATTGACAGAGGTTTGATATTTTCTAAAGGTGCGTTGGAGCGACACCAAGCTGTTGACATCTTTCAGTGAGGTGACATTTCTAAGGTCGCCATCCACTATCTCTTTATTTGATGCAGTGCGGCTTTGATGACCTTTAATATTGCTTGCTTGTTGACAAGACTCTCAAGGCCAGAGAGCCAGCGCAAGTCTAAAATGACTTCTCGGAAACAATTGTGGTGAGGATATTTTGCCATGGAGAGAGAATCTGTGCGAATGCAGCCCTTGCAGTTATTTATTATTGTATTTCATTTCCAAAAGGGCCCCGTTTGAATATTTTATGACCACAAATGACCATAATAACTAAAGGCTATCTTTTTCTCTGTAGAAAATATGAGAGACGCTTACCTATGCAATGATTTGGAATGTTGCAGTGTGGTTGCTAGGATGTTCTTCATGGTTTCTAGTAGTTGTTTACTGGCCAGAGTCAAAAGATATTTCTTGTGTCCCTTGTTTATGGAATTTTTTTGTGCAAAAAATGTAATTTGCACCCCAATTTACTTCCTTAAAGGGATCATTCACCCAAAAAATTAAAACTCTTAATTACTCACCCTCAGCATTTTTTGTCATTTTCACGGATTTGTGTGAACAGGGATCGTTGTCGTCTGAAGATGAAACTATTTAAAAACGCAAAGGAAAAACCTTTCAGTTTTTAGCACAATCATTCTTGTGTAAACATACCCTTAGAAAAACATTGCGTGATTTGACATTATCAATCTGGAATTGATTGGATGGTGAGAAATTAAAAATTACAGTTTACTAAAATAATCACACAAAGCTCCGTGTTGTCTTTTTTTGAAGGAATAGTTCACCCAAAGAAGAAAATTTGCTGAAAATATACCTACTCACAGGCCATCCAAGATACAGATGAGTTTGTTTCTTCATCGGAACAAATTTAGCCATACATCACTTACTTACAATAGATCCTCTGTAGTGAATGGGTGCCGTCAGAATGAGAGTCCAATCAGCTGATTAAATACATCACAATAATCCGCAGACCTGTGAAGTGAAAGCTATGGTTTGAAGTTAAAAACATCTTGATGGATTTGTTTATTACAAACATGTTTGTATCAGCTGTTTGGACTCATTCTCATGGCACCCATTCACTGAAGAGAATCCATTAGTGAACAAGTGATATAAATCTAAATTTCTTTCTCTCTTTTTT